ATTCTTCTATTTTCGACTGTAAAACAATAAGGCAAAGTTGAAAATCTTTTAAAGAAAATTGGCAGTTGTGAGTAGTTTAATGTGCTGGCTGCCTGCACAATGATTGGTCATTAATCTTAACTAAATAGAGTCGTGAATTCGTGATCAATAAATAGCTGAACGAGGTCATTAGGCTGTGTGATGACTAACTATTGATATGTGCACAGGTTGCATTGGCTTTGTCGTTAAAACAAGGGCGCCAACACCTGTGCACGCATCGACAAATCATGAAATATGTTATGTTAAAAAGTTTGCTTGACGGTAATTTAACCTCTTTTTACAAAACTTTTTACTAGCTGCTTTCCAAATAGATTGCATTCGATACCTTTTTTTAAAATGAGAATCGTTTAAACGTCACAATTTGACATAAGTGACAGTTTAAACAAGATGGCGGAAAATTCAAACCCATTTAATTGTTATTCATTTTATTTTATTCAGGAAGTGATAAAGTAATAACGTGGCTTTCTACCATCTTTTGTTTAACAAAATTGTGAAGGCAGGCGAGTGAAAATTGTGAAACGCGAGTATTGTGAGTTATCTGTCGCCTAGCTCGCTAGCTCTATGAAATCAATATCTGCAAGATAAAGCCAGCCTGATCTAGAACAATAAAGTGGCTTTCCACTCGTGCTGTGTACACGAAAACCGAAGGTAGTGGACCATCTTATCATCTAATATTTATTTATTATTATCTAACTTTAGAATTTGTTATATTTGAATATTCGGTAATCGTAAAGTAGATGTTAGTTGCATGTATGTAGATGACATGCCAGGTCATCACAATTAACGTATCTTTATTAAAAAAAATGAGACAAACTTCACTATTACATATTGTGAAATAATAGTTTTTCGTCAAAATTAATTAAACACAATTTCGTCAAAATTAAGAAATGAGTTGTGTGGATTAATGGTTTGGGCACTATTTAAATGATATTCTGTGGAATGTGGTACATACAAAAACACACATACACATAGTACCTACCTAACTAGGTCTAGTATTAATTTTATGAAGATAAATCGATAACATTACATTTTAACGATAATCAGTCATCATTTATAAGATGTCTATTCATGCTAGTTGATTATTTTAGCAAAAGAAAAAGTAAGCCTATAATATTATTTGTGATTCACATAATTATATCAAGTTAGTATGCCGTGCGATAAATATTGCAATTCCGCATTTATGTCTGTGACACGCACATTGCACGCGTTTCTACAATACCTACCTACTTCACGCATTTAGGCGTGTGTTTAAGTGTAATTTAAGCAACTTTTCATTTAGATTTTGTTTTTATTGCATAATTAATTGGATTAGTTATAAAACGTATGCCTATTTTGTTCTGCAACTTACTTCTTTTCAATATTTTAAGATAATTATAATTTAATGAAAATTAGAGCTTTGTCAAGCGTAATTTTTTTGTCAAGTTGTTCGTTGATTATGGGATACTGTCTAATTAAATTATTTTGATCAGTGACTTTCTTAAAATCTGATTAATTGTATTTTTATTCACGTGCATATTTTCAATAAACTACTCACAATATTTCAATATCTTATTATGCTACTGATGAAATTGAGCGTGTAGTATGACTTGAAATGAAACTAGTGGAGTTGCTCGTCAAAAAATTACGTGAGTACCTAAGCCGAAAATATTAATATTCCAATAACCGCAACACTATAAAATTATGGCATTGTATGTAAAGGTTATTTTACAATCTGCAAGACTATGATATGGCGTTAATATACGGCACTGGAACTGCCAATAGCTGTCAAATTAGTGAATATTTGATCGCCCATAGCACATGAGGGTGACCTCACTCGGGCCTCAGGTGTATGCCACGACCTTTGCCAAGGCTCACAGTGCGATAAACTTTCGTAATTAAATTCGCAACTGCACACTATAACTTGACGTTCAGTAAACACGTACTAAACTAGCACATGAAGATACACTATATTTTTATACATTTTCAACTTTATCGCCATGTAATAAAGTCGAATATATAGTTGGGATAGTTTAATTTGCGGTTATTACTAATGTATAAATAGCCTTATGTCTTGTATGGAGTGAATTGAATTGATACGTTTGCCTAAAAAATGCCTAGGCCGCTGCCGTGGCCTTTGGACGCGGTCTTGTAGATTTTTTTAATAAATTCGCTAAAGGCATTGTTGGTATTGTACAGGGTCGTCCTGATATTAATTAATTAATGTTTTATTGTTGCTTTTAAGGAACTGTGTTTAATTGGTCTTTCATTTTTAGAATTTTCCGGTTTGATCAGAAACTGTTTTGAATGCGCGATAGTCGTCTGCCTACTAGAAATTACGTGGTATACTTGATTAAAACCCTTGTCAAACTGTCAGTCGTTTGTCTACCCTCGAGAGGAAATTCTTAGTCAGATAATTGGGATTGACCGTCTTAAGTAGTCCCTAGAGCATCAAGGTGCCGGGATGTCAGAAATTTCTTGGTCGATAAGAGTTATGTAGATGTATAAAAATTAGGTCAATGAGAAAATCAATCGATCCCTCACCTAATTTTGAGAATAATGAATCTGAGAAGAATCGTAACAAGGAAAAGTTTGCAGGTATCGATCGAAAAAAGCTAAGAATTCACTCCAATGTAAACTTGAAAGAGCAAGCAATCGGTTCATCGCTTTCCATCGCAGAAGTAATTCACTGAACAACTTTCCGTTCTTTCTCCCTTATAATTAGAATTAGCATTTTGAGCAAAAAGTTTAATTAAATCTGTAAAAAGTTAAAATTCCTTTCATGACTTTGAACATTAACTTTCTTTTAATTGAGAAGTCTTAATGACATGGCAACAAGTTTTCCGCTCCCAACCTTCGCTCGACGGTCGACCCTCGGCTACATGATGGCCAGCGCTGGAGAAGATAAGCACGAGAATTTGATGTTAATCTGCAGTCACGCACAGACAACATGCCAATATTGCTCTTGTTTGATTTATAATAATATGCAAGGTTCGATTGTGCCCTTTGCGTATTTGATTAGAATCGTAATCACTCATTGTTTTGGTTTGTAGCCTTGGGTCACTCAGAAAGAAGGCAACTTTTAAAGGTCTGTTTTGTCAAGTTATTCAATTTTAAAATCAATTAGATAGGTACACAAAAGTGTCTATATCTTACACTAACTAACTTTCAAGCTACACCAAACACTTAACAAAACTTCTTTACTGCTTTTGGTGAAGTCAGAAATAGGGAAAGCCCTGAAAGGCTTTTCTATATTTGTAGAACAAGCAACTACTTCACATTAGACGAACTTACAATAAGCATCAAACGTTAATACTTTTAATAGAAACCATAAAAAATCTATCAACGAAACAATTGATCACTGAAAAAGCTTTACGTTTGATGTTACTGAAGACCGCACTAAATTTAACCTTATTGTGATCGAGGGTGAATGAAACCGAGGATCGATAGGCCTTGCTCGGTGTTACACCGCGGCCTCGCTGCCGGGACCATTTACTTGTATATCTGAAGGGGTGGGTGCAAAGGTCACGACAGTCGGAACTACTACCGACCCTGGCTCGCGGTCGCCTGAACTTGCTACATGGTGAACTACTAAAGTACCATGAGATTCCACAGAGAAAATTCACGGAAAATCATCGTTGTTTCTTTGTGCATAAGGCTTTTGACTAACTCGAAGCAATTTGTTGTGGAACAATTAACTGCGATTACATGGAAACAGGCTCGTTTCAGTAGGTACTTCAATATCTCACAATTCCAAGAACATCACTTTACAAATGGATTAAGGCATATTGTTATTTTTTTAATTAATAGTATCACTACAATACAAAGTCAGTGTGACGCAGTTTGGCGGGAAAAGAATTCACCTTGAAATGACGCGCTTCCCGCGCTGCGACCTCGCTGGCGGCCGCGAACGTTCGGACCACTTCGGAAGTGTTCGGGCAAGATCGCTGATTGTCGATGTTCTTCGGCGCCACTCGGGTGTCCTCGCTACGAATCGGGTGGTGTTCGTTTTAATTGGTTTGAGATTAGTTGGTGTTTATTTGAATTAGTTTGGCTGTTTCAATTTCATTTAAGAATTAATATTTTCTTTTTCAGTACTGGAGTTATAGAACTTTGGTTTTCATTTCATGTCTATTCAGACAGTACAACGTTGCAGGCCTCATATATTTAAGTTACGTGCGCTCTTTTTGTGAACGTGTATTTAAGGTAACAATTTGGTTGATGATATAGTTGCGGGCTGTTTGAAAATGGCTGCATCACTGATTGCTGACCACTAAGGACATTTGCATTTTCTCGTCAGTTTTTGCGATCGGTTGAGCAGTTGTTGACATTAATCGGTGTTATTACGTTTCATAAATCTGCGTAAATATCGCGATTTATGATACTCAGCGATTCGAAAGTGCGTTCACAAATAAAACGAAGGCTATGAATGAACCATTCAGACAGGATAATTCAATTTTTTGCAGATACTTTAATTCACAATGCTTCTCTTTAGCAAATTAAGGTTTGATGCTTTGAAGCTCTCGTTATTTTGATACTTTTTTGTTAATTGTGATAGTTACAATGGATACAAGTTAATAGGAACAAGGGTGGGCAATTTGGTGGTGTGGGTAATAGGAATTACAATGCCTTAGGTTGTAGATTTGTTGTAGATAGTAAGACAGCAAAATAAATACGAAAAAGGGCCAAAACAAAAACTCACTTCGGAAAAACTATAAATAATAGCCCCATTATATAATTGGTCCTTTCTGGTCCTGACAGTCGTGTTTTCGTTGCAAGAAAGGATCCCCTAAATCAATTGATTGAATGAGTTCTCCGCGCTTTCGTTCCGCAGCACTAACCGCTTGACCCAATTTCTTAAATCCACAACCATTTCAGGGTTTGACAATGATAACACTAGTTGGAGCAGTCATAAAAATATACGCGAGCATCCACCGGTTGACGGGGGCGCGGCAGTGCGGCAGTTCAGTGACTCGTGGGCCGCCGCACTGAGCGGACGTACGTGCGACGCTCGCTACTTATCCTCCAACACGTTACGAACGCAACCTTCGGCGTGGAACTGTATTTTGAAATTGTGTGTGTTGTCGATTTGAAAATTATCTGACAGTGACAGGAGTGTGACCAGTGTTTTTAAGGAATTCCTTTACATTGCCTTTGGGATGAAACTGATTTTATTTTAATATTTTGATTTTATTATTGTGTGCATGTGGACGGATCAGTGAACCTTTGGATTGCGATTTGGACCTGGTAAGTACCTTTTGTTACTTTTTGTTTTATGGGCTGAGGGGTAAATTACGAGCACACTTTTTGGTCATTTTATCTGATCCACTAAACAAACAAACATAATAATTACAATAACAACTACATAAAAAACTCACGGTCTCAATGTTAAAAGGCCGAATAAACAGCCTTTTAATATTGCTCGAAACTTGTAACCATTTATACAAGCTCTTAAGATAAGGCCCAAGCGTAGGTAATTTACAAAATAATCTTGAAAATAAAAACGCAAATATTTTTCAGAGATAAAACCTGCTTTTGTTTAAAAATAAACATTTAAGATTGGCGTGTTTTGTGAACCTTCAAATTAGGCTCAAGATCTTTGTGAAATATTTACAAACTGAATTAATTTTGAAAGTAATTTTCTAGTTTTGAATTGCAAACAAGAACTTCCATTACTTTGTATTTTATCTGTGACAGAATTTTGTAGTACTTATTACTCTGTAATCTATTTTGTTTAAAAGTACAAGTACATGTAATAAAATAAATAATACAAATGAACCGGCGGCCACAACGATATATTTGGACCACATTGCATTTGAGCAATTTGTCCAATCGTCCAGTCATTACTGGCCAATCAAGGTCTAATATAATGGTCAATTTATGATTATAATATACATTGCTATAACAATACTGTTGTTTACAAAAATCATTGATACTTCTAAAATAACTTATCTTTTCATCTTCAAATTCGCTTCGTGAAATCGTCCGAACGAAATGTTTTCTATCTGAACTTTCCCCGCTTTGGAAGATTATTACCATATAAGGCATCACAGACAATTTATTCATAACTTGTTATTCATTAGATTGAATTCAAACAAAATAAACAGAATCGTGTTTTTTCCAGGTTCTGAATGAAACGTCCCTAAGGACTCAAAGGACCAGAGCCTATATTTTTTGGTCCTTCGAGCTTTCTTTTAGTTTGTTCAGTATTGTTTGCAATTCGTGCATGTTGCATATCGTTCTGGCCTTTTCTTCCTATCAAGGTTAAAGGATTTTCACAAATATTAGGTTATTATCTTTTGGATTATGAATGGACCTTGTGTAAGACCTTGAAGTAATTACTTACCTAGTATTTGTGTTTACTTTTGTAGAAATATCAATATTCCTGGCAGCTTTACATCACAAACATGAGATTTGATACACTTTTGGACACATATCCCAAAACTAAGAGAATCTGACACCCCGTAGGCGTTTTACACGAAAATATTACGTAGTACCGTTATTACGCAGCGGTTTAATATTGATATTTTAATGTATCTCAGCAGTTTATACCATTGCTATTTTATTGACACATATAAAGCTGTAATACTCGTTAAACCAGAACTAGCAAAGAAAACGAAATTTCAGATTCCATTTCGTCGATATTGGTCGCGCTGTGAATGGATCACGTTCCAATAAACGGAATGACATGTTACCGTCCAAAATGGCCATTATTGTTAAGACATTGTGGCAACACCGTTTAGAGAACAATCTTGACTTTTGGCCGAGAGTGCAATTACTCATAATGTTCCTAAAACCGGAGGACAATCGCTAACTATACCTGTACAGCAGCGTGGCGACCTTGTGTAGTATTATCTAAGTATTGCGCAGTTATAAAAATGATTCTGTCGAAAAACATCGGCTCACTGATCATTTTTTCAGCACATCTATTTGTGTGCACTGTTGCTCTAAGTGAATGCCATTAGTTTTTGTTGTGCATGTAGAATTGGCGGTTGTAGTCTCGCCCAATCTCTGACAATTACAACCAAACTTTTGCTTTCAAGTCCTGTTTAGTCATTCTTTAATATATTCGTGACGTCATCGTGGACGATGTTACGTTTATAGTATTTAATTATAAAATCATTTTCAAAAGATTTGTATCGCATGTTCATCTTCACTAGCTATTTGTAAGCATTGCACCAAATCCGTTACATGTATACAAATCAAATTTTGAAATATTGCATAACAAATAGGTTTTGGGTACGCAGCAATTTTTTAAGCGATGAGTAATGTTGTAACCTCCAAAACTTACCGACAAATTGCTTCTACAGGGAAACGTTAAATAAAAACGTTACATTTAAACGCAGTACATGAGTCGTCTCGGTCCAGTAAATAGCTATAGACCTTGTGTATTTGTTAAGTACATCAAGTAGCTTGATGAACAAAGTATAGGAGTAACAGAGCCAAAGATGCAATAACGTAAATGAAAATGAAGGAACAAGAAGTCATAGTTTACAATAAACTTTTATCATACGAACCCACAGTCCAAATCACCTTACCTTACATGCTAAAGCCCCAAAACAAAACACATGTTAGGTACTTTGTCTCAAATACACATATATCTGAATAGACCACAATTTGTGAAGCAGCACATACTAGCCGAAACACGTGCTAACCAACGTTAATATACTTCGACCTTAGCACTCAGATCCGAACAGTACAAGTATTACAAGTCACAACAAACAATTACATGTATTATAAAATCACGGAACATGCTCTGTATCGATAGCTTATCAGCACCGGCCTTGCGTTTATCTGAACACTGCTCATCTGTTCACGTGGGTACGATTGTTTCAAGAGCATTCTGCTAAATTGAAGGCAGGTTTGCATGCACGCTTCAATGAATTAGAGGGAGGACGTTGAAAACTAAATGCTTTTTGTACTGCTTTGTGAAGAATGAAAATGTATTAGACCTTTCTTTTATGCCTTATGTGTGTTATTTGTTCGAAATAAATAACCTAGAAGGGTATTAGGATGGCAAAATGATTTCCTAATGTACGAATTTTTAGGTATCACTATCTGCAAGCAACGAAAAAGTTCCTTTACGGGTTGTATTTAGTCTAATGGTTAATTCATAATGTCATGTTGTATTAACGTTAAATTCGCTGTTTTGCAATGAAAGTATCATTCGCTTTTCCTGTATTAACTAATCTTTATGATGTTTGTCTCCTTCAATTAATTTCCTATCTCCTGCAGAATTAAAGGTATTCATATCATGGCGCGCCGCATGTAATCTTCCCTTATTAACGTTTCTGTAGCTAATTTCTCAATTGGAATGATTTTATGGTGCTCCATATTAGATTTGTAAAGGAAAATTTGTGGTACCTCAGTGTTGCTTTTATAAATATCTTTGGCATCTATAAATAAGTCACAATCAACATCGTAAACATTTCTGTCTGTAAGAGTAGGTACTGCAGTGATATTATTTATTGTTACTTTAGCTTTAACTTTCAAAACTGGATTTGTAGATATAATGTTCTGATCGTCATCTATATATTTGTCAACTTCCTTGCAATGGTCGTTTCTTTCTGTATTAACTATAGCTTTGAGTTTATTGGCTTCATGTTACCGGCCTGCTCGCGAGATGGAAAAATTATTAACATTTACGTGATTGTCATATTTACCTGCTTTATTTTTATTCAAATCTTCACCATTTGTATTATCTATGCTTCGTTTATATATACAGTAGACTGAATATCACTTCCTAATAGCCTAAAACAATAGTATAGTATGTACTTACATCTATATGCAGTGTTTCTAAGCTCTTGCGTTTGGCAATGTGCACGCAGCGCCGTGCGCCGGCCTGCACGCTGCGGTCTATAGACGTAAAATATGTTTAGTTAGAACGTTGAACGCTTCTGCTCGGTTTCCTGCTTGTATTCTATTAATTGAGCCATTCCAGGAAGCTTTGCATGTTGTTTAACTCTAATATTCGTTGATTGTTGCATGTTTAATCAGTTGTATCATGTGTAGTTTTGTCAGCTTTCAATTATTCAGTCAAATTCAAATGTGTTTTATATAAAACAAACGAATAGCGCGTCAAAATTCATGATGACTGATTTAATAAAATGTTCGAACATGTCAATACTCTATTCATAACTTTTTCTTATGCTTAAATAATTCATTTCCTTTATAAATTGTTGTAACAAATCATGAACATTGATTCAAACGTTTTCAACTTCAAATGGTGTACGTAATTAACTCCACTTTGTTTAGAACTAAGTGTAGTATCGTTTCATACAATACTTTCTTAGTTGTCTTCAATCGAAACGCCTTTATCAATTTTCATTTGAAATGTTATCTTGTCATTAACTAGTCATGAGTTTCTTTTGGCCACAGTCTAATGTTTTGTATCGACTAAAAACATCGAAATCATTCGACTTCGCGTGTCATCCTTACCGAGCTATCATTAAGATTCGGTACATTTGCAACTGCACCTATCTCACGCGACAACAGCTCTTACGCAAAAGTCGTTAAGATTTAAACTCGTTTACAAAATTTAATTTATACTTTCGAGTAATGGTTGCAAGCAAACGATGGAATCACATGTACATTTATAATGGTGAAATTGCTTTCTCTTGTTAACAATAACTTTTATTTTTTAATTTAGTTAGCTCATCTATTGCGAAATGGGCGGTCTCTAGCACACGAATGTTCGTGTGTCGGGGTATTTTACCACTGGATTTCGCTTTGCTTTTTAGTTCATTGAATCTTTCGGTTATTCTAGAATATTCTTTAGATGACTTGTATTCAATAGAAGCGCTATTGGTTTGACCGTGTATAAGTTGCTTAATGGAAAGCTTCGGTACAAATTAATAATTTATTGAAGGCTTTGCTTTGCACATCTTTGGAATTCAGAGTATCAATGCCCCATTTGTAACTTAATAAAATGCTTTCTATGGAAGTGTCGGCTCGGTTAATATCAAATTAATATCGACACTCGATCGAAAGGACAAGGGAATGGTGCATTAGCAATAAATAATGAATGCAATTCAAACATTTTCAGTAGCATTCACAAGATAGCGATAAATCAATGCGCCTGCGCCGGCTTGCTTCCGCATAGACGTGCGCACGCGACGCGCAGAGAGTGAAAGTATGATTTCAAATGAACGTCACCGCGATTACGTCGATGATACTTTTTAATATTGCACTTTTTGTGCTTTCGAGTGTGTAGTGTATGGAGTTATAAGTCCGGTGCTTTAATAAGG